AAAGATTAACGCTGCCATCAATCCAGCACAGACGCCGATTCCAAGAAAGGATGTTCTTCAGAACAACATGGTGGGATGTACGAAGTATAAAGCACTCGACATGGTCGATGGGTATTACCAATCGCTCTTGAGAGCGAGTGATATTCCGCTGACAGCGGTGCGCACTCCGAGCGGCATGCTCTGGGAGTGGCTGGTGATGCCACAAGGGCTGTCAAATGCACCAGCAACATTAAATCGTCTTGTGGCGCAGTTGTTCTGGCCTCACAGGGCGTATGCACAGACATACTTTGACGAAATTTTCGCTCACAGTCGTGCAGAGCACGGGAGGACGGATGAGGAGAACCAGATCGTTCATTTAAGAGCGGTGCTCGAGTGCATGCGCACGAACAAACTGTACGCCAATGCAGACAAGTGCATCTTTGGCGCAAAAGGGTCCTTTTCTAGGGTGCTCCATTGGAAAGCGTGGCCTTCGAGCGGATCCCGTCAAGGTCAAGGCCATTGTAGAGTGGCCGGTTCAAAATACTTGCGTAAGTGGCTTGGTCTCGCCAACTACATGCACAAGTACAGCGTAAACTACGCAGAAGTGGCCCGGTCATTATACATTTTCCTCAAAAAGGATGCGGAATGGTGTTAAGACACCGAAGATAGGGAGGCTTTTGACGGGGTCGAAGACAGCCTCCTGTATGTACCAATATTGGCGCTTCCAGATCCTGGTCATCCTTTCAGCGTCGTCTGTGACGCTTCGGACTTTGCCATCGGCTGTGCACTGCTGCAAGCAGACGCCGAGGAATGAGATCGGGTGATCGCGTTCGAATCTCGACAGCTCAAAGCTGCGGAGAAAAACTACCTATTTCATGACAAGGAGCTACTTACGTTTAAATATGCACTTGTCAAGTTCAGGGTCCACCCGCTCGGCTCCAAGCCGTTTGTGATCTATACAGACCATGCGTCGCTACGCATTTCGACTCAGTCGCCCCACCTCTCGCAGATGATGGCTAGATGGCTATCACTCTTTGCCGAATAAAACTTCGAGGTGAAATATATGCTGGGAAAGCAGAATGCTTTGGCTGATAGATTACGAGCTTGCTCATGTTACAACTGTAACGTCGTCCGTGACAAATTTGATCCGCACCGCGTATGCGGGTGTGTAGCGCTGCTACGGGCTCTCGGGAGCAAGGAGTTTGGAGACTTGGACACGAAATTGTCGCCATGACTGCGTGCACGATTGCATAGACTTTCATTGAATAACGGCTTGCTATATTATAGCACCGATTCAAAGGATACACCGCGAATTGTTTTTCCTCATGATGAAGATTTGAAATATCGCATCCTCTATGAGGGTCACAACACGCCACTCATCGGTCATCTCGGTCGTGAGAAAACGTACAACTCTGTGAGTCACTACTATTGGCGGCCCAAGATGTACAAATGGACGAGCACCGATGTGCGCACGTGTGAGACGTGCAACGGGCGAAATCCTCTCCAAATGCGGCTGCACCGCTGGTCAGCTTACCGGTACCCACTGGGAGCTGGCTATCCATGAGTTTGGACTCTGTGTTTGGCCTGCTGAAAAATTCGGCGGGCAACACGGGTGTCGTGGTATTTGTTGACCAGTTGAGAAAGATGGCTCGTTTGGCGGCGGTGCCAGACACCATCGACGGGGTCGGTCAGAAACGCTGTTCGTGGGTCGTGTTTTCGGACAACACGGACTCCCAGAGTCGATTGTCTCTGATAGAAACCCCTGTTTCACGGGAAAATTTTGGTCGACTATCTTCAATGTGGTAGGCACTAAGTTGGATATGTCGATAGGGCATCATCCGCAGACCGATGGCCAAACCGAAAGGGTGAATCGCGTCATCGAAGACATTCTTCGCAGCGACTGCGCTGAGACGCCGAGGCGCTGGAGCGCCATGTTGCCAATCGTTGCGTTTGCACTGAACAATGCATTACATTTGTCTGCCGGCTACACGCCGTTTTACGTGAACGGGCTGGTTCACCCTCGCGTACCACTGACGCCGCCATCTCATGGCTCAGGGCTTGTTGGGGGAGGAATAGCTAAACGGCTAGCTGATATCAGCCCCCTCACCATCCGTAAAGAACTCGATGACTTCTTGCCTACCAGGTCTGAGTGTCCTACGACACATTAGCGATGTGATGGCTGAAAGCCAAGACCTGCAGAAAGAATATGCAGATGAAAAAGGAAGAGGCAAAGTAGAAAGCTTTAAGGTCGGGGGCCTGGTTTTATTAAATTCTAAAACCTTCATACACATACATTCTCTGCTTACTTACGTCCACGGTTTATCGGACCGTTTAAGGTTGTGGCCAAGCGGGGCCTAGCGTATACGCTAAAGCTTCCCATACGGATGCGCACACACCCATTGTTTTACGTGGGTTTGCTCAAGCCGTACCGCGATCCGGCGCAAGTGAACACGGAAGCGTCGGCGCCAGAGCGGATCCCACGGGCCCTCAGCCACCCAGAAGCTGAACCAGCAACTGGTTCTGAGCATGGAGTTCAATAACCTCCATTTCCAATGGCGCCAAGCGCTCCACCGTCACATGCAGCGACGCATTCACCTGCTCCACGGCTAGGAGTCGCTCCAACAGAGCGCGGTAGTCCTCAAGGTGAGGCAGCCGGCGCACGACGTGCTTCAAATCTTCAAGAGCGTCCGCGCAGCGATATGCTACTCCAGCATGACGCTCAGCGGAGCACCGATCACGAAGGACCTCGTTCTCGAGGGCTCGAAGAGCATCACGAGTCACCGGGCGGCGGTCGACCCGATCGTCACCGCCCGCCACCGACTCTTCTCGTTGATAACGGTGACGTCCACTATCACGTGGAACGTCTAGTGAGACGACATCGTCACCAGGGTC